TGACCGACCCGCCGCCAGTGAGAGCTCCAGCAGCTTTGCCTGGCGGGATGGCCACCTGCCTCCCTATCCCGGCACCGCGCGGGCGCTGGGCGGCTTTTTCCCCCTGGGAATTCACCGGCCCTGCTGCAGGAAGCCTAACAAACGTGCTGCGGCCGCTCCACTGCCACGTGGGCAATGCTACTCCAAAATCAAAGCGAATTTATTCTGGAATAAAAACCCCACACTCCGCACGGAGTAATTATGTTGAAATAAGAGTCACTTTTTCATCCAGCACGGTTTCAGCCCAACGCTTGCGCTACTACAGCCCGGCTGAACAGCTTGCCCAAAGAGCGAAGCACATGGCGCTAATTGCCTAGCTTCAATTTGGTGCCCCTGCTACAGAACGAGGGGTGCTCGCAGAGAGATGCTCTTTGAAATACCCTGAAGAGCAACTGTGACAGCCCCCCAGGCAACACATCCACGCAAGGGCCTTTCATTACACGCTCATGCAAATTTATGCTTATTACTGTACACTGAATATCGGATCAGATCGTTTTACCGTGACTGACTCAAACTTTTTTTTTTTTTTTTTTCAATGAGAAATTACACCCTTGGAAGTTATTCCTCTTTCCCATTGATTCCCCCCTTTCAGGGTTAAATGGCATTTTCCATACCCGAATGCAGAGGATTATTTTAGAAAGGATCTTCATCTCGGGAGCCTGAATATTACGCATAATGATCCCTCAGATGCGTACGCCTTTCATTCATCGGCGCTGGGGAAGGCGGCGTGCCGGGAGCACGCGCCCCGCCTCGGAGCGGGCGGCTGCGCGGTTTTCTGACAAGCTGGAAGCAGAATCATGTGAAGTCCCCGCTCTTGGCAGGAGATTTTTAGCAATAAGTAGCAGCTTTATGAGGAATATCCTTTGCCAGGGGACCATCAGCCAGGGAGCAGTGGGATTCTTATTTTTTAATGGACTTTTAATAAGTAGGCCACAATGATAATCTTGACACCAGAGTAGCTTTATTTCTACGTGTAATTATCTCCACTTCGCTCTCAAGCTCCCTGCAGCCTCCAAGAGCAAATAAGACCACCAACCTCTCCCTGAGAAAAGGGGCAAGGAAACAGCACAGGGCCACTTGAAATGCTATTTGGATCAGACCTCATCTGCTCCTCTCATCTGATATCAAAGTCAACCTCTCCTCCCCTCCTCTAAATCAATTAAATCTCACTTTTGGCGTTTAACTGCTTGAACCCTTACCAGCAGGAACATCCGTGCTTGGAGCCGGGGCAGCGCCAGGAGGGCAGCCCCACGAGGGCAGCCCCACATCTCCCGATGCTGCAGGAAGGCTGTCCACAGCCCCAGCTCCTCCCTGCAGGCTGCCTGTCCCCGCGCTGCCCCACCGCATCTCCCGTCCTTCATCCCATCGCTGGCTCTGGTGGCTGAGACCGGGCAGGTGAAGGCAGAGCCCCCGGTGCAGGGGCAGCCCAACACCTCCCCCCCCCAGCCACAGCCCCGACTCTTTGCGAGGCCACAGAATGAGGGACCTGCACAGGGTTAAAAATAATCTTGGGCCAACAGAAACTATTTTAAGTTCAGATTAGCTCCTCACAGCCCAGTTGAGTCGACAGCCCCGCAAATGGCTGAACAGGTACAATGAAGGAGGACCCCGGGGAACAAGCGGGGAGGATGCACAGCCAAGGTGCCGTCTGAGCCTCCGGGAGAGGTTACTCCCAAATGAGAACGTGTTCTGCAGGCACAGGCAGAATTTGAGCAGTTTCTGAAGGTCCTCACTAAGCAAAAATCCCACCAGGGATATCCCTCCATCCTAGCCCTCCAGATTTGCCAGTATCTAACCTCTCCTGCGCTGGTCTGTGCAGCCACATGGTGACCCAACCTGGCCCAGGAAAGCAGGTCCCATCGGCACCGCGCTGAGGGGAGACCCCGGCTCCCTGAAAGGGTGCACAGGAGATGCTTCACCACTCCCTCCAGCTTCTGGCAGGACTTTTAACAACACATTCCATCCTTCATTACCTTAAAATCCCATGCTAAAACCACTCTCTCTCCCCAACACAGCCTCCCTCTGCGGCAGGGACCCAGCTGTGCTGCCCTGCCAGCTCCGCTGTCTGCGCTCCACAGCAGCGTGCCCTTCCCAAGCCTGCACGCAGGCTCTTCCCACGCTCCTCTGCACGCAGCCTCGCAGGAAATGGATGCAAGCAACATACAGAAATACTGGGGGTATCACAGCACAAAGTGTGCGTCTCAAGACCCCCCAAGATCTCTGGGGGAGAGCTGCTCCAGGCTGGGCTGGATGCAGCAACTCTTGTTCTGCACCTCGCTCCTACTGCTATTCGTGCAGCCAGCCCTTGGCTCTTAAAGCTTGTCTGAACATCCCACCTTCCACCTGAGCTTCCAACAGGAACAGGAAATATTCACTGCTTCGCTTTCCTCCCAGACTCAGGGATCCAACTCTTCTTTCAAAATAAAACAACGTTCTGGCCAAGGTCTGCTCCAGCAGAGGTGCAATCCACTCCCTTCGGTGCCTAGCAGCCTCCCTCTTAATGATTTACAAATATTGCTGTCCCCTACTTGCAAAAACAGTCCTGCCTTTTACTACAGCCGACAGAGCAAGTCCCTGCTTCCAAAGGCTGGCACTGAACGAGGCTCCAAATGGCAGCACAGAATCTCTGCTGCCCAGGCTGGAGCAGACTTAGCAGCAAGGGCAAGCGCCGTGGGCAATCCTGCAGCCAAGGATGCTTTGGATACTTTTAAAAACCAAAATACGACTAGCACCTGCTGGGTGCAGGACAGGCAGGTCTGTGGCCGCAGGGGCAGGTAGGTAGAGGCAGAGCAGAGCGTTAAATTGCCTCTCTCCCTCCACACTTGTTACTTGCTCAACTTAACACTGAAAGCAGAATGAGCTGTGCTAAATGTCTCCACTGCTAACAAGAAACAAATGTGGCCTCATGTTCTAGTTGCTGTGATCTACCAAAACAGACCATGGTAAACACTATAAAAATGTACTGGAGGGAACCACCCTGTGTTTGCTGGGAGAGGGACTGGATAATCTAATAGGGCTTTATCCATCTCTAATGTCTCTGAAAAAAAGAAGGGAAAATTGGGCTGTGTCCATGACATTCGTCATGTGCTAGCTATTCTGATGTCTTAATGCTGCAGAAATCAAATTGGAGCGAGGCTACCTATCTGCCTCCCAATCAGGATCTAGACCCAAGTGCTGCTTTTTATGGCCATGCAGCGTGAGGAGCTGCTGATGTCAGTGGTGGCATGGGCCAGGCCAGTTTTTCCATCCCTATCCCCACGTTATCTGGAGATACACTCCCCTTGTGGTCACCTCACTCTCCTCATGACACGGATAATCATTCACTTCACAGACCTGGCGATCGACCAGAGGGTCCTTCCTCAGGCTGAAAACATCTGCAGGGACAAGGTACCTGCCCAAAATGTTAACGCTTATCTGGGTACTTGGGTAGCGTGGTATCAGCAGCAACACTGGCATGATCCTTTCTTGATTTGTATCTTAGCCATGGTCATGGCAAGGGTTGATTCAGTCACCTACCCCCAGGCACCTCACAGTACCCTAAGTACCTGCCCGGCCGTTAACTAAAGGGTTAAGGGTCTCCTCTAGCTTCGGTGCCAAATCTGCCAGCCCCCACGGGGATCTCAGACACCCTCCAGCACTTCAGAGAGCTTTATCACCTCTGCTCAGGCGGTCACCAGAAGTCACTCCCACCCAAGTCATCCTCCTCCCATACCTTTACCCTCCCCACCCAGCACAGAGCCCTCAGGAGCCCCATCCCCGCTGGCACACCGCCAGCTGCTGTCTCCGGTGGGGAAAGAGAATTGGGCCCCGCTCAGTTCTCGCACAGAGCCGCAGGCTGCACGGGCAACCCCGTGCTACTCCTGACGCCTGGCCAGGCTTTCTGCATTCACTCCATCCCCTTTTTCAAGCATCTTGGGTTTGTTTGTTTTTTTAAAGCTACCGTGACCTTGGCACAGAGATGGACAAACATCAACTGCCTGAAAACAGCATGTTCTGAAAAACTACACAGAGCAAAACCACAGCCCCATTGCAGTCTGCAAGCAAGATCTCCATCTGGGGAGGGGAGAAAAGAAGCATTTGGGGTGCTCTGAGAAAGTGCTGCTGAGAAGGTGCAAGCGCAAAGCGCTGCAGCTCCTTGCTCAGCCCGAGGGACGGCATTTCCACACGCTCCTCCAACTCTTACCTGGCTCTTCCCACGCCGCCGGTAATTCCTTCTTACAAGGTTCTTGTAATTCTCATTCTTCTTGGTCAGGTAGTAATACAGGACACAGTCTGCCACCGTCTGCAACGACATGGGCAAGTCAGGGAACAGAAGGTCCTGGCTCCTCGCTCTGTTGGGGTGCAGACTTCCAGGAGCAGCATTCAGGCCCTGCCATCGCCAGGTCTTCTGCTACTTCTGAAAATCTGCAGCCCGAACAAGCTTTCCTGCACCTCCCTCCCAAAGCCCTTCAATGGAGCTGGAAGAGGGGGGTGATGCACGTTGCCCCAGGAAAAAGGCTCAGCTCTTCCAAGGGACAGACCGGGGCTGTCCCGCAGGCGTGCTGAGACGGAGGTGGGGGTGCACAGCAGAGAGACCCCGTGCTGGAAGCAAAGCAGGGGGAAAGGCTGACCCCAGATGACTGTGGCAACTAAAGGCAGAAGAAGGAGAACCGCCTGTCACCCTCTGTTGTGGTTATGCGAGGCACAACCTGCCACGTGACTGTCAGCCAGCGTTACTTCCAGCCGTTAAGCTCACTGGCTCGAACGCGCACGACTTTCTCGTGGACAGATTGAGATCCCGGTGCTCAGGAGCCACCATCCCAACTCCCATTCCAGTAGTTGGCTCCACAAACACCATCCCAGATTGGACATTTTAGGAAAACAAGGAGCCGTGGCCAGGACATATTCTGCTCCTGAACAGCACAGAGCATGCCATGCTGGGAAAAGCCCTTTGCTGAACGGGGTGGGCACCTAGACACTGGTCTTGGGCTACACCTTCATATACAGGATCAGCAGCTGCATGCACAGAAATACTCCCGCGGACCCATCACGCCTGCAAGCACCCAGGCAGAGGGTGCTGCTGCGTGCTCCCAGGGGGTGCATGGGGGCTGCACTCCCCCTATCCCTGTGCAAGGAGTGGAACCATTTGCAAAAACAGATTGCAACTTTTAAAGTGTTAATTGGATCTCTTTCTAATCTAGCCCTGATTATACACACACGCGAACACAAAAACTTAGTCATCTGTTCCAAGGGCTAAGATCACTATTTTTTTTTTTATAATGCAATTTAAAAATCTATTAATTCATTACATTGAGCCATACTTTGCATCTCTCTCCAACAGGATAATGGATGTGTTCTGTATCATAATTACAGCCTGATTTACAAACGAGTACAAATAAAATTAGAAGACATTTTACAGCTTGGAACACAGACTGGATTGTGAGCATCATCCAAGTCCCACCGCTTTCGGCTTTAGCAAGTGGGAAAGGCTGAAAAGAGCCTGGTATCTTACAGCAACGACAGCAGCACGAGGTTGCTGCTGGCCTTTGCTTGCTTGCTTGCTTGCTGCTTTGGACAGGAAGGTCAAGATCTTAGAAATGATTTCCCCAACCTGAGTAATACAGAATCAGAGAATAATTTAGGCTGGAAGGGACATCTGCAGGTCACCCCCCTGAAAGCAGAGAAGTTTCCCCAGATCGAGTGGACACTGCATGCATGAAACTGCACGAGATGGGCAGAGGATGCAACTAAATACAAGGACCAGAGAAGAAGCAGCTCTCAAGCATCTCTTGCTCAGGAGAGCACCTGGTCCATCATTGTCTTTCCCGGCTGGGTCTGTCCAGGATCTGCCCATGGGGCCTGTCCCACAGAAAGTACCTGGCCTTGCTCAGAACGGGACCAGAGACTCACTCTTCCTTCAGATCTCTTTCTCAAACCTTCCTTCCAGCAGCCCAATTAACAGCAAAAAGGAAAAGTCTAAGAAGTACAACACAGAGGCTTGGGAATGGTCAGGCCCTCCTGCAAGCAAACTATTCCTAAACACCAAGGTGAAGTGTTTCTGCTTACATGACACCAACCCAAACTGCTGGATGAATTGGGACTCAGTGCACCCTCAGGATCAACTCCCTGCAGGAGGAGGGGACCCCTCTGCTTTGTGCTGGGGTGTCCACACCCCCTGTGCGACAGCCTGGCTGGTGCAAAATGCCTCCAGGAGATGCTGGAAAGCAGCTCCCGAGGCAGATCATGGGGTGGGCTGCAACGCCTACACGCCAGGCTGGATGCGTTCACACATCTCACGTCTCTGAGCTCCCTGTCTCTCCGCAGCTGAGTCAGTCCCTTGTCTCTGCAGGGAGCCCGGAGGCATCTGGACCATGCCCGGGGCTCTGAGCCACCTCCACCCACAGGTGCCCAGCATCTACCATGCTCCAGCACCAAAGGGAACCACGCAATGGAGAAGAGAGTGCCAGGCAGGTTAAAGCCAGGCAAGGAGGCTTACCTTCCTGTCCAGAAAAGATGCGATCAGGCCGAAGTTCTTTGGATGCTGCATGAACCTGCGGGAGTGAAAGGGAGAGGGTTAGTGTGGATGCAGGCTATGACCCCCCTTGCAGCTGAGCTGCTGTGCCCAGAGCGGTGAGGCCAGCTCCCTGAGGGACTTAGGGGTTTGAGAAAATATTTATCTGCTGCTCAGCTTCCCAGAAAGACAGGAACTTTAAATTTAGCCCAGTGGAGCTGGGCTGGTTGGGAGCTTCGATGTGCTGATGTTCATCATGGGGTGGGAGAGGGCAGGGGGGCTGGCAGCACCCAACAGCTGCCCGTCACCCTGCTCAATCCCACGGCCACCCAAGCCCGTACCGATGACAGGATGGGTACAGAGGGCAGCTGCACACCTGGCCAAGGCCTCAGGATTTGGCAAGGAAAGAGCAAGGAATCACAGTCAACGGCCAAGCACTAGCACCCTGCAGCATGGCCGGGGGTGCCCCCACCACTGAGCGGGACCCCAGGCCTGGCTGGGCTGTCAGGAGCAGCTGCAAAGGACAGGAAGGGAAACCCAAACCCTGGGAGGAAGCACAGAGCTGCCACGTTTCTGAGTTGCTCAAGAGAACCCCAGTGGCACGGCGGCTCCAAGGAATGCTGCCTCCTATCAGCAGGCTCGCCTGGGGCTCTGGCAGCCCAGGAGGGAGCATAGCCCACCAGGGGGAAGCTGTCCCTGGGTGCAAAGATGTCTCCTCCAACAAATCCCTTCACCTAGCTGGTGGGCCAGTGCTGAAGGCCAGCAAGCCCTTGGCATGAGGTGCTCCCGTTGGCAGGAGCACAGTTAACTGGTGCATCACTGAAGTGCAGGGATCCTGGCTCTTGCACCAGGGCTGGAGCACAGCGCTGGCCCCAGCAGAGAGGCTGCCACCAGCACAGGGAGCAGACCGGCCAGGGCCAGCCCCGCTCAGTGTGTGTGGCTCTGCTGGCTCCCAGGAGCTGATGGCTCTGTGCCCTGGGCAAATGGTTCGGAGGCAAGAGGCAGGCGAGCTGTGGTGTGGGTGCAACGCACAGCCACCCCGCTCCCTCACCAGCAAACCACAGACCCCCCCGGCAGCAGGCTACTGATGGGCTCTCAGTAATCCTGCCCAGAAGCAAATCAAATCAGACTTCCTCATGGTTATGTTTTAATGGCTAGAATGAGTTCAGACCTGGAGCTTGTTGGCCTTGCTGGGCCTGGCTGTTTTCTCTAAGAACCCCTGCCATCAGGTCTGAACAAGAGGTTGCACTGGGTTTTCACGGTCTCAGGAAGAGGCTGGCTCTGGGTCATGATCACAGATGACAAAACTTTGGTTCACCTTAAATGTCCAGGCCAGAAGCTGCAGCACACCATGCAGCTCAGCTACCCGCACACTGGGATTGGGGCGAGAGCCAGGGCAGGACTCCCTTGGCCCTCCTTACAGCTCTTAAGTACCAATCTCTCAAAACGAGCTTTGTGAGAGCCCTGAAATCCTGCTGTATTTATGCCTCAAGCTCTGCATCACCCATGGTGATGACACAGAAACCACCGTGCACAGCAGGATGCACGAGCTGGGTGTGGACTCTTCCAGCCCCATTAGCCAGGCACAGCCCCACCATTAAAGACCAAGTAATTAGCCTTTGCGTCATTTGCGGGCAAGCCTTGCTGTTTGGAGTGTCACATTTTAAGGATAATTAGCAATAAGGATTCTCCTCTACCAGAGGCTTGGAGCCTGTTTGCTTGTTTTGTTCTTTTTCGGTTCATCTTGGCAATTACTTATTTCAGCTGCAAACAGGAGTTGTCATGAGCAGGGACAGGAGGAGGAACGCCGGACACAGAGAGGCTTCCAGCATGGCTGGCCGTGGGCCTGCTGGTAATCCACAGAGCTGTCTCACAATCATCCAGAGGCCAGACTAAGGCGGTGCTGCTGCAAGGGACCAAGTGGCCCTGGCGCACCCACGCACCCCTGTGTCCCTCATGTCCAGAGCAGTGAGCCCTGGCAGAGCTCATCCTGCTGGAAGCTGCACTCCAGCTCTGTTTTTACAGACACGCAGGGCACATTGGGGGCACCAAGGAAGCTCCAGTCCTCCGTGCAAACACACCAGGGTCCCTGTTAGGCTATGGTATATGGAGGAGTCTGGATGTGAGACTGAGCTGGGACGCACAGCTGGGCTGACAGTGCAGTGGTACCCAGGGAAGGGATCAGCAATCCCCCAAGTGATCTCAGTCAATAAAGCAAAGCTGTCCTCAAGCACTGCTTGCAAACAGGAGAAGGCACCGCAGCCAGAGTTTGGACCTGTCTGATGTGGGAATGCAT